TTTTGCTGGACAATGCCACTGAATTCCGGAGCCGGCGAATGGCTGCATTCGCCGCGAAGTGGCGGGTTCGGCTGCGGTTTCGCGCGGGGCACGGGGCCGGCGGCAACGGAATCATGGAGCGTCACCACCGAACTATAAAGGTGATGGCCGCCCGCCAACGGTGCTCAGTCAGTGAAGCGGTGCATCGGTACAATGCGACTCCGCGGAACGGTGCTAACTCGCTGAGCGCGCGGATGGCGCGGGTATTCCGCGCAGCCGGTGCCACCCTGCCGACCGGCCAGCGCGCTGCCGAACCCGCGCCGCTTCTGATGCAGGAACCTGTCTCATCGTCGTTTCGCGTGGGTGATGCGGTGTGGATGCGGCGCCGGGGGCCCGCCACGCGGTGTACCGATGTGTCGCGCCAGGGCGTAGTTACGCGGGTCCTGTCGGACCAAGTGGTTGAGGTCGACGACACGCCCTGGCACGTGCGGTGCCTGCGGCGCCGGAACCCGCAAAAAGGCTCAGATGGAAGCCGAATGCCGGGCGCGGGTGAGGAGTTTGGAGACAACACAGGCACACTGCCCATGACGGGCATTGTCGAATCATGAGTCCACGGGGGGGGGGGGGGGGGGGCTGTTCAGAAACGCCTGCCGTGCCATCAAGCCCGTCGGTCGCGGACCCTGCTGAGCGCCCATCGATATCGTGGAGTGATCGCGATGACGTGTCGGGCGCCAGTACAAATTCCCAGTCATTGTGCTGTGGTGAGCATGAATCGGATGAGTGTGGTGTGCGCAAAGATGACTTGTTCGTGTCCAGCAACAGTGCGACACTACCACCGCCTCGGCCGGATCCTCCACAGGGGGAGGGAGAGTCGCAGTAACCGCGGACGAGCGGTCGCGCTCGCCGGCAACCAGTCGAGTTGTACGACTTCAGTGTCTTCACCGATCTCGTTGACGATTATGAGTGTTTGTTGATTGGTAGAGTAGCATGATTGCTTACAATCAGGTGGAGGTGTGGTGTCGCTGCGCGGGGTGCGCGCCCTCGCCCTCGCTGTCTTCCGAGCCCTACATCTGTCGGGGTGCCGGGGGGCGTCACGTGACCGTGGGTCTCCCAATTCGCCGGGTGTCAAGGGTCGGCCGCTGAGGCGGTGGCAGGGACCCGGCGCTCGCAGGCGCCGGTCGGTTTTTGGACGAGTCTAGGCGAATACACGCTACGTTCTCTTTCAGACAGCTCGGGGGATGGTACGCGGGGCGAATCAGCCGCGCTGGTTCAGCTCCAGCTGCACGGTACGGTCGGACCCACATCTCACCGCAACCCGTCCACGGCCGCACTGGTGTATCCCCAGTTGCACGGTACGGTCGGACCCACATCTCACCGCACCCCGTCCACGGCCGCACTGGTTCAGCTCCAGCTGCACGGTACGGTCGGACCCACATCTCACCGCAACCCGTCCACGGCCGCACTGGTGTATCCCCAGTTGCACGGTACGGTCGGACCCACATCTCACCGCACCCCGTCCACGGCCGCACTGGTTCAGCTCCAGCTGCATGGTACGGTCGGACCCACATCTCACCGCGCCCCGTCCACGGCCGCACTGGTTCAGCTCCAGCTGCACGGTACGGTCGGACCCACATCTCACCGCACCCCGTCCACGGCCGCACTGGTTCAGCTCCAGCTGCATGGTACGGTCGGACCCACATCTCACCGCACCCCGTCCACGGCCGCACTGGTTCAGCTCCAGCTGCATGGTACGGTCGGACCCACATCTCACCGCACCCCGTCCACGGCCGCACTGGTTCAGCTCCAGCTGCATGGTACGGTCGGACCCACATCTCACCGCACCCCGTCCATGGCCGCACCACGGCAGCCCCAGCTGCATGGTGCTGTCGGACCCACACCTCATCGCACTCCATTCATGGCCGCACCACGGCAGCCCCAGCTGCATGGTGCTGTCGGACCCACATCTTATCGCGCCCCGTCCACAGCCGCGCCGGATCGCAACGGCACGAAGCAAGACCGGTTACTTTGAGTAGGTCTGAGGGAGTTCTGAGGCATTATTACGTCTTGGTTTGTGATTATATGCCGTGGAAACTTTTTTCGGACGGCAGCCCCGGAGATTCAGTTTCTTTGACCGACCTTCTTCGGACAGAAGCACAGGAATATTGCACACCCGTAATGCTATTCATCTGCTGACGTGGGTTGTTATTGTCTACATTCAGGCGCAGGGCGGTCCCATTCTCGGCCGTGAGGAAATGAAGTGAAGCGACCATACACCACCTATGAATACTCCCGGCCAACCCACACCAGTCCGACTACCAGACAATTTTCGCCCTGATTTGCGTCCTGGCAAGACCCTGCAGCTCGACATACGTCCTGGCAAGACCCTGGAGCTCGACATAGTCCCAAGATCCTGCAGCTCGACGACATGCGTCCTGGCGAGACCCTGCAACTCGACATACGTCCTGGCGAGACCCTGCAGCTCGACATGCGTCCTGGCGAGACCCTGCAGCCCGGCATGCGTCCTGGCAAGACCCTGCAGCTCGACATACGTCCTGGCGAGACCCTGCAGCTCGACATGCGTCCTGGCGAGACCCTGCAGCCCGGCATGCGTCCTGGCGAGACCCTGCAGCTCGACATACGTCCTGGCAAGACCCTGGAGCTCGACATAGTCCCAAGATCCTGCAGCTCGACATACGTCCTGGCGAGACCCTGCAGCTCGACATGCGTCCTGGCGAGACCCTGCAACTCGACATACGTCCTGGCGAGACCCTGCAGCTCGACATGCGTCCTGGCGAGACCCTGCAGCCCGGCATGCGTCCTGGCGAGACCCTGCAGCTCGACATACGTCCTGGCAAGACCCTGGAGCTCGACATAGTCCCAAGATCCTGCAGCTCGACATACGTCCTGGCGAGACCCTGCAGCTCGACATACGTCCTGGCGAGACCCTGCAGCTCGACATACGTCCTGGCGAGACCCTGCAGCTCGACATACGTCCTGGCGAGACCCTGCAGCTCGACATACGTCTTGGCGAGACCCTGCAGCTCGACATACGTCCTGGCGAGACCCTGCAGCTCGACATACGTCCTGGCGAGACCCTGCAGCCCGGCATGCCTCCTGGCGAGACCCTGCAGCTCGACATACGTCCTGGCGAGACCCTGCAGCTCGACATACGTCCTGGCGAGACCCTGCAACTCGACATACGTCCTGGCGAGACCCTGCAGCTCGACATGCGTCCTGGCGAGACCCTGCAGCCCGGCATGCGTCCTGGCAAGACCCTGCAGCCCGACATGCGTCCTGGCGAGACCCTGCAGCTCGACATACGTCCTGGCGAGACCCTGCAGCCCGACATGCGTCCTGGTGAGACCCTGCAGGTCGACATGCGGACTGCAGTGCACCATTGCGCTGGTACCATTGCCTTCTAAATTACAGCCTGTTTGGTGTTAAAACTATAAATAGCATGCAGTTTTGCAACTAAGAGTCATGGGGTTAGTGGGCAAACCTTGCCTCTACAAGGACATCAGGGAATGGCGGAAAGTGGCTACGAATGGCACGCTGGAAGCGACCATACCACTTATGTTCGTCAAAAGGCATATTATGAATGAGTTTATTCGCCTGTAACATACTGTTCTGGGACCCGCACCATCGCAGAGTCGGTGCTTTTAAGAGCAATACACGTATTGGTCGTGCCAATCGCCATGTACTGTGCCAACGCAGTAGGCTTGCCACATTAACATAACAGTGAAGCTTCACCTGCTGAATTATGAATGCTCCTTCACCAAACTTGCGCTAAGTTCCAACCTTCGCTCATCGATGTTTGCATGGCCTTGCCTGGTCTCCGCGCTGACCTTGCCACACTGTTTATCCATTATGTTTTTGTTTGTTACAGCTTATAAAACACACGCCGAATTTCTGTTTTATGGCTAAGAAAGCAAAAAAACGCAGATAGATTTCACCCGAGGAAGCGCGTCCTAGAAAACGTCAGCATTGCTCCATGGTGCCAGCAACTTGTGCACTTTGATGAAAAACAGCAGTCAATGAACTGCGAAAAGATCCAAACGCGTAGACATCACGACAAGAAAAAGAAGAAAGTAGAGAGGTACCCCGAGCTCAGCGATTACTTGCGGGCGTCCAGTTACATGGTTCACGCACAAGTTTGCATTTTACGCATTTCAATACAGTTAGGAAGACAGGCTACATGGAAATATGTGTAACGAAAACGATCCTCAATCATTCGCATTGCAAACAGGAAGTCAGCAACACCTCAGCCAAGATCATAACCAAACATTTAACGTATGTGCACCACACGATAACCCAGCACACAAAGTATGTGCATCCGTATCTAGTGTGTTGCAATGTAACCGGCTGTAAATGTTCGTAAGCTCGGCTCATCTATGATTGACAATGTGCCGATTCAATTGCAATGCACTGATTCGATTAGTGGCAGTAGTTTGGGAAATGACGAGCGTCCTTGCTTGACTTACTAATGACATTTCTCGTTCAAAGATTGTCCACATTCAACCTGAACACGGTGCAGAGTAACAGCACTCTATCATGAGCCGACCTCGAAGCTCGGTGCGCCTCTGGTGCCAGTTATACGCCCAGTTGACGTGGCAGGGCCAGCCTCGAAGGCCAGTCCAGGGTACGCCCGACTACCCCGCAGCACGTCCCCAGCTAGCGTGGCCCTGAAGCACTCTCGACAGCACGGCTTCAATGACGTGACCATTTCGTAAGATACGCAAGAGCGTTTTAAGTACGAGCAACTAATTGTCAGCTTTCTGTTCATGGTGCGAACTTGCAAGGGACACACCGACGTCAAGAAGAGGGGTAATTTATATATATGATGCGAAAATTATTGCAGCTAAAGCCCACCATTTGGGCTGATGACCTGCTTCGACAGGAGCCCTCAGCTGACCTCACTTCTACCCACTCTCGGAAGACGCCTGCGCCACCAGCCACCGTGAGCTGGTCCTGAAGCTGTTCCCGACTGAACCCCCCCCCCCCCCCCCTCCCACGTCACGTACCTCTCTGGTGGCGTGCTGGTGGACGTCGCCGAAGAACTGCCCGGTGAGCTTGCCGAGCTTGCGCTCCAGCGCGCGCACGTCTGCGCGTAGTAGGCGCACATCGCTGCGGAAACCCTCTGCCTCCAGGCGGCGCCGCCGCTCCAGACCGTCGTAGCGGCCCTTCATGGCGACTACCGAGTCCCGCATCCGACTCAGCCGCTCCTGATCCCGAGTCAGGAAAGACGCGCGTCAGGATTGGATGTCCAGACGCCAGCGACTTGACCCTGCTATCGAGAAACTGCGCGGGCGACAAGGCCCGCAAATAAAGCACACGGAATGGTTTACATAGAACCAGTGATGCGCCGGGTGACGTCTTCTACATTGATGAGTAACTACCGTATGGTTCTTTACGACAGGCGTCCTCTGCCATTCTGGTGCACAAACACGAAGAACGGGCGCAAGTTTTTGCAAGTTTTGCTGCACATCCGAGCCCCGCCAGGGGCGATTGCGTTTCCCAAAAAGTGGGAGAAAACCTCGCTACGGATGGCGGTGTAAGAGTCAATTGCAGTGTGCGTGACGCGTTGAAGATCGACTCGGCACGGTAACCTGGGTACTTTCTGGTAGCTAAGCCCACCCCAATATACCTAACCGCAGCGGGCGTAAGTGGTACGTGTGTGTGCCGGTTGTATGGTGATCGTGCAGCGACCGTGTGAGACGCGTGCTGGCTGCAGTGACTGCGCGCATTGTCTGTCAGCCCCTGGGACCCTGCAGTGACCATGCGCGGCGCCCACGGAACACTGCAGCCATGGTGCACTGTGCACCGGTACCGATGTACGTTTGAGAGTGGGAACGCGAGTCCTCCGCTTTCTCGACTGATGAGCCCGAGTCTGAGTTCGATTCATCTGCGGTTCACAGCCGTAGGCAGACGCGACTACGTGATGGATTTCGAGTCCAGCTGAACTGGGGCGCGGGCCTGGACAAGCGTCTGTACAAAACCTGGCAACATCCACTCGGTCTCGCTGGTGGAGGACGGGACACGGAAACGATTTTCGTGACAGTCCTACAAAAATACCTGAGGGCGTGAGTGAACTTTGTTTTCATTGTCTCACTTCCGAAAATACGTTAAATGACGAGCATCACAAACAACAAAGGTACTGTCTTGCGAAGACTAAAAAAAACAACAAAAGCTGCAAGTTAATTTCAACAGTTTCGCTGACCGCGCACAAAAACAGCACATTTCCGGCCATCACATTGACCCTGGCATAGATGTTGCTGTGGTCAGTCCCCAACCGACTTCGGCTTACAAAGGGCTCCATGACGGCGTTACAAATGGGCGATCCGTTTCCTTCTGATCTGGGCACACCCTCGATCGCTACAACCCAGCAATCCGATCCGGAGGCTTATCTAGCGACGTTTTATTCCTTATTCTAGGTCAACCACGTTTGCACTTCTGGCCGACTGGTCTAACAGTGCAATGTCAGCAAAGCCACAGCAGATGCTGTACACGGACACACCCGGCAAATTAACCATACACTTTTAATCGGCCCGCTATTCAGACATTTAACCAGTGGTGGCACGGGGATCAACGCGGCAACTGTGTCTACGACGAGAAATAGTGGGGAACATGTGGGTAACTGTACAGAAGTGGTCTACTTATGGCCTGAGATCACTCCAAAAATTTTGCTATTAGACGAGGTTGTTGCGAGATCACTAGACCACCTTTCGTGATTGAGATTCTAACCACGTAACTCACCTTGAAACGCTGGCGGTTATGAGCCAGCTGTCGCGGCCACCTACTCTTTGAATCCCCGGAGACCCGTCTACCGGTGTCAGCGGCGACCCCGAACTCATCGAGCTCAATGTAGTGACAGCTACATCCTTTTTAAACCTCAGGCGGTCATTCTGCCAGTGACTATGTCCACAATGAACTCTTGACGGCCAACCAAGTAGAAGTTACACCCACCTTGAACTCCCGGCGGTCTGTTCGCTGGCGGCTGCACCCACCTTGAACTCGTGGTGGTCACCCCAACAGCAGCTCTACCCACCTTGAACTCCTGCCGGTCCGCCTCTCGGGCGTCCCGCACCTCCGACACGAACTTCTCCAGCCGGGTACACTGCTCACGGTACTGGGCGCATCTCGTGTTGGCATCCTCCAGCTGATTCTATAGCAGTTCATTTGAGCACAAGGGTAACTTAAAACCGACACAAACACAGTCGCCAGTGCACTGACAGTCAAATCATACCATAAAAGCTGCAATCAGCTTTTTCAACTCATGCATGAGGTCACAGGCCGAGTAACACATCCGATAGGGGGCGTCGTTCCAACAGGCAATGCCACGAAAGCATTGCGACCAGTGCCGCACTGACCCGCGCTTTGTGACTCAACACTGCGACGAGTACTACACTGACCCGCACCTGGTGACTCAACAATGCGACGAGTACTACACTGACCCGCACCTGGTGACTCAACAACGTGACGAGTACTACACTGACTCGCACTTGGTGACTCCACATTTGATTCGCCACTTGATAACGCAGACTAGCAGGGAGTGGGAGGGGGGGGGGGGGGCGACGCGACCCCCTCCCCCCCCCTCCGTTTCGAAACCAAGAACGATCAAGTCACGCGAAAAACCGAAATTGCATTGCTTTCGCCGATATCTCGCGATTGGCGAAATATTTCATGTTGATAGGTTAGCAAATGACCTCATCATGCCAAGCCGAAGGCCAGTTTTCCCCAAATCGCACTCTTTCAGCTGAACATACCAGTATTTACGAAACCATGGTACGCGGCGATATCAAATTTCCACACGCGAAATTCTGTTTAATTCTGAGCACATAGGTATGTAGTGCTGTGTGTTTTAAGCATACATTTATAATGTAGCCCTCCTTTAATTAGACAGTGCCGGCAAATGTACAACAAACACAGATGGTATGTGGATTTGCATGAAATACGAATAACACACTATTAGATGGGAGTGACTCTCTCTTGAGTCCGGACGTACACGATATAGCGCAATGCAGACCATGAAGAGGAAGTGGATACAAAATTACCATGGCGATTACTTTGTATTTACTTGCTGTTCCCCCGAGTCAGACATGAATCCAAGCGTTAGACATTGTAAATTTGTCTAATGGGTTGGTTTGGCGCATCTCTCTGGCGGGAACAGGTGATGCCAGGTCGGCGGCACCAGTCGGGCCCGGCTGAGGCCACTGTCAACGGCTGACAGATCGTCGCATCATGTGGGTGCGTGCTGAAAAAAAAACTGGAAGCCTGGCTGAGTGCTCCTTGTATCGTACTGGGCATTCATCACCTGACAAGATCCCAGCCCTCGCCTAGCGTCCCCGAGATCCACCGCACGCCTGTTGGACGCCCCCGCTCTCGTCTCCGGGCTTGGACCGTACCATGAGCTCGGTGGCGCGCTGACGCAGCTTCTGGTAGGCCGTCTGGAAGGAGCCGCGTGCCATGACGGCCACGGTGGCGGTGGGCGGCGCCGGTGGCCGGCCGACCGGCCCAGGGCCGGGCCCGCTGCCAGCGCTGCGGCCCGGCCGCGGCTCAGCCTGTGAGCCGCGCTCACACCGCGCCGGGAAGCGCACGCTCAGGTTCTGGCAGAGCAGCTCGCGCTCGCGCAGCAGCTGGTCCTTCTCGGCCATCCAGACACGCTCCTGCTGCTGCTGCTCGGAGTACAGGCGCAGTAGGTCGCGGCTGGTGCTGTAAAGCAGCTTCTGGGTCTCGTGCAGCCTGCGCGCAGAGTCGAGGTACAAAGTCAGGACCCGTCGAAAACGTTTCAGCGCTGGGAGACGTCATCACCGTCGGAGTCATCATCTCAGGAAGCGAGCAGGCAGTGAGTGGTACCAGTCAGGCGGCACATGGCCTGTGCATTCGGCGTACTGCACTTCAGAAATATATTGGCATTGCCATGGTGCGATCAGAATGAAGGATGGCTCAGCGATAGCACGCTCACCCAATCACACTGCACAGGCCATACTTTAGCACACTGTACAGGCCATGCTTTATCACACTGTATGGGCAACACTTAATCACACTGTATGGGCCACACTTTATCACACTGTATGGCCATACTTTATCACACTGTACAGGCCATACTTTATCACACTGTACAGGCCATACTTCATCACACCGTACAGGCCCTGCTTTACCACACTGTACAGGCTATACTTCATCACACTGTACAGGCCATACTTTATCACGCCATACAGGCCATACTTTATCACACTGTACATGCCATACTTTATCACACTGTATAAGCCATACTTTATCACATTGTACAGGCCATACTTTATCGCATGAGCACCGTGTGGCCGTATGACAACCGTAATGTTATCGAGGAGGCAGCTGTTTCGTGGTGCCTATTTAGCGAAAAAGGTAATGCAGAATGCATGTGGGGATAACCAATTAAAGGAAATTTTCCACATTTGAAGATATTGAAGCAAGCACGATATCTGATGAAATAGGCTTACTTATAATTATTGGTACACTTAAAGCAGAAACGGTGCTCTAGACAACAAAATTTATCTATTTAGTAAAAGCAAGCGTTTGCACGCTTGCTTCGCTGTGCTAATCAAACACGTAGAAAATTCCATTATGCATCCCTTTCAGTTTAAATCACGATTATACTATCCTGGGGATAGGTAGCTAGGTAGGTATAGTAGGCAGGTAGGTAGCTAGGCTAGGTAGCTGCATAGGTGCTCTGGTTGCCGAAATATGGCGCGAAAGTTGAAAAACGGCTGGTAACGGTCAAATCTATCTTGCTGGCTGGTGCATGCATGACAAGCAGCACGTGTGACATGATCATTCATACAATGTGATTTTCTGTTTCAATGTCTATCAACGCATGCCACTCCCCAGCGGCTGGGTGCAATGGGTGCTGCAATGCGTCAAACACTTTTAAACCTGTGAAAACACGAAATTCAATTTTTCCGGAGCTTGTGAGCGCGACACGTAACCTGTGGGCACGCACACCTGAAACACATGACTGGCCATGTGATTTCTCGTCACGCTATACCAGTTCCGTGTGCCTATAAGCTCTAAGTGCGAAAGTGTGGCGTAAAACGTAAAAACCGACGAAATCAGCAAAATGGATCTTCACAGCTAGTATGCACATGCAAAATCGCACGTGCAACATAACATGTTACACCACGTGATTGTCTGCTAGACTGCCCACCGAAGCATGACACTGGAGTCGCTTCGTGCCATAGGTGCCGCGATATCGCAAAAATGTGCAAACCCGTCGAAAATAGTAAAATACATATTTTGGCATGCAGGCGCCCGGACACGTGGCACATGCGACCAATCATTGCCATTTTACTTCTTCCATTTATCATTGAAGCGTGACACTCCAGAGTGTGTCCGCGTTCTGGATGCCGAGATTTGGCACAAAATGTGTAAAACCGTGGAAGAGAGCAAAATTCATCTTTGAGCGCGTGTCACGTGATGCGTTCTGACGTAGCATTTTGCATGCCACATCTTTTCGTGCCACTCCCGGGTCGCTGCGACTCGGCGTCGTCGAGATGTCCGTGCGAAATGACATAATCGGTCGGAGGCAGTTGATTACGGCAGCCAGTCACGTGATCAGACGGCCGCTTAATATTAAAGCAAACTCCGGCGTCAGCCGAGACACTGTACGGCGCCCTTTCGAAATGCTTATCTTGAAATGCTTACTTGTTATGACATTTACTTGATCATGGCGCTGTTCTCAAGTTATTCGCTTACAAGTCTTATGCCCGTAATAACTAGCAACGATGTCCAATTTCTGATATTGTGTGGTACAAAACATGGCTTGCGTCGGAATCTTGCGCAGGATATACAATACTGATTGGAAGCCAATTGAAGTTCGTTATATCTGAGAATCTCACAGACACCAGATGTGAACGGCTCAATGATATTCTCCCTGGCCTTGAACGCCACATGGCCTATGGAGCGGCAAAATTTGAATGGCGTTGCTTTGGCGTCGTGCACGCCTGAATGTCCTTGAAATTTGGACGGTCTGCATTACATAGCCTGCACTTTTTCACTGTCGTGCAGCTCAAACCCTATAGGGTCCCAGGTTTTACGAAGGGCAGGGTTATAAACTGCACCGAGTGATCTTCAAATTGACTATTTCAGCTCAACAACCCATACAAATGTGAAACATTCTCTTGGAGATTATAAAGAGTGACACGCTTTTCTTAGCTTCCCATGGTGTCACCAGTGCAGAAAACAAATTGTAAAGACAGATGTTCATCAACACTGGACTCAGCGGGTACTCTAAAGTCCGCCGCGCCTACACACCACCACGGCCGCCGTCTAACGTACTTCTCGTTGTAAGTGGCCAGCCGCTGGTCGCGTTTGGCACGCTCGGCCTGGCGTTCTTCGGCACTGACACGGCGGTCATCGAGCAGTGCCTGGCGCTCCTCGCGCGCCAGCCGCGTGCGCCCCTCCAGTTGGGCGCGCAGACAGCCCACCTCCAGCTGCAGTGAGGCGGCGTCGGGAGGCGGCGGGCCCGTCGCCGCGCCGTCGCCCGCTAACCGAGGGGGGGGGGGGGAAGGGGCGCATCAGCCGGCGACATACTCGACACGGCGACGCACCGACCGAAGAAGCGCCCTCTCAACAGCGGCCAGACAGCGGACAGAAACACCTGGCGGGCGTGGTCGGGTCGCCACCGGACGCGCAAGGACACGAGGCGCATCGGCACAGGATGGTGGTGGCCACCACAGCCGTGGCAGACATGGGCCGAACTCTGGTCCTGTTTTGCATCTCTGGTCCTGTTTGGCAGACACGGGTCGAACTCTGGTCCTGTTTTGCATTGAGGCCTGAGCAGTATTCAAGTGCAGACAAGACCTTCCATAAATAATTTTGGAAGCAGTTACCCCCTATGGAATCAAACAGCTTTGTGGCCAAGACTCGCTAGCTATAGCTCTCATGGCTACAACGCCGAAAAGATATGCCAAAGGACGTGGAACTGGGCGACAGAGAATAAGAATACAAGATCAGCTTCTTATCAGCAGTAACACGCACAGCCCCAGGATAGTTCATGATCGACCGGATTCATTGTTGTTTTTTTCCGAGCAGATCGACCCCGTGCAGCAAGCCCACCAGCACTCCATCTCCGTACCTTCCAGCTTCCGACTCTGCTCCAGCTGCTTGGCGTACTGCTGTAGCTGGGGCGGAAGTTGCTGTCGTATCAGCTTCCCCTCGTCCAGCTCCTTGATGAAGTAGGTGAGCGAGGACTCGGTGGTACCCGACAGCGAGAGGAGCACATCAATCTTGCGCCGGTCCTCCACCTCCCGAATCTGGGGGGGGGGGGGGGGGGGGGCGGCGACAAGGCGGCGTCAGCGGTCCCCGTCCACTCACACGGCACGGTGCACGGAGCACTGCTCGGCGCTGGGTTGGCTAGCAGTCGGCGGTGATGTCACTCCGCGTCGGTCAGCATAACGACCGACGTGGTGACGCAGATGACCATCGTGATGGCTATCGCGTCAGGTCACTCACGAACAAAGGCGAATATGCAAAAGGTCAGGGTCAGGGTGGGCAGGTCGTGACAGGTGAGTGTTTTCAAAACTAGCGAATATGTCACAGGGTCGAGGATTACAGACGACAACAATGCTCCTCCGCGACTTAAACTGAGCCTTGGCGCGCTCACCAGTTCTGTGAAGGGTTGCGTAGAGGGCGAGGACATCATGACAACGTTACTGATCATATGATTATGACACAAAAGGTGATGCTGGATGGGGTCACTGCATCACCTAAACACCTGTACATATACACTATTTACAATCACACATCACCGTACCATCAATAAGCTTACACCAACCACTACCACTACCACTACCACTCACTTGCTGAGCATGCGATGTCGGTCGCCAGACAACGGTTTAAGGCACAGTTTAAGGTACCGCCCCACCTAGTGTGAGGATCAGCCAGCCCCCACCTTAAGCCGGTCGTTCTCGGCGTGCAGCCGCAGCACCTGGTCGCGCTCCTGGAACACATACACCTGCATGTCGCTAACAGCCAGCTGCAGCTGTGCCACCTCCGCGTCGCGCTCGGTCAGTTCGGCCTGCAGCTGGCGCGCGTCGGCGACGGACGTCCGGTACCTGCCCGTACATGGATGGCTAAACACAAAATCTGTCCGTCTTGTACCACCTGAGTCAAGGGACCAGGTACATCGCCACATGCATTATCTATGGCAATCCTGTGCCTGCTGAGGTGGGGATGGTCTGATACACCATCTACATCTGTATGGCACCCACCTGGACAAGGGACAGATGGATTCACTGGTTATGTAGGGTGATATGGATGGATGGCTAAACATGGGTTGTCTGTATATAAATATATACACACACACACACATATATATATATATATATATATATATATATATATATATATATATATACTTGTATGTATGTATACACCAGATATATCAGATTATCAGATACACAGCCCACACCATCCAAAGCCTGCCCAGGAGACTGTTAGACATTGTCATCACCATCATAAAACCAGCTAGACAGTGTTTCCCATGGAACGTGTTTTAATATTTGGTCACTTGGGTGGCCAGGATGTGTATTTTTTCAGGCTTTTGCACCCTGGCTCATGGTTCATTGCCTATTGTCTCACCCCTTATAAAAAGTCAGTGAATAAGCATCAAGCTGGGTGGCGGTCAACCAAACATTTCAGTGCCTCCAAATTGACAAATGGATCAGACAGGTCAGATGTGGGGATGCAGGGTCAAAGGGCAATAGATTAGCACCAACATAATGTGTGGGGGGGGGGACCAGATAGGCAGGAACCTGTTCAAATAAATGTCTCACATGTTTCACACCACTCTGGATGAACTTTGGAATGCTGCTTCTAGGTTCAATACAATTCAGCCTCTTGTAAATATGCAAAGTGGAAGTGTAAAAACTGAGAGATCAGAGCTCTGAATTTGAGAGAAATTGCTTGAGAGGTAAAAACTTGTGCAAATATGGTAACACAATTTGGGGCTTTTGGCTTACCCTCAGTGCAAATCTAGCACAGCAGCAACCACATCTCCCAGCTGAAGGGATGCCAGTATCAGTGAGGCACACATACTGAGCTGAACTGCAGTAGGCTGTAATTCCAGTAGGACACAACTCACTGGTCTAGCTTATCAGCCAGTTGGTCCAGTCGGCGCTGGAACTGGTCTGTCTTGGTACGGTAGTACTCCAACAGGTCATCAGATGGTGGCAGTTGCTGGATCAGTTCATGTACATCCCCCTCCATCAGGGGTGAGAGCCCTGAGGCTGGTTCAGCCCCCAGTGGGCTTGTTGACCTCTGCTGTGACATGGCTGTAGTTGCACATCAAACAAAGGATGCTCTGCTCTGAAACAAGGCAGGAACATTTGACATTCAATGCATCTGACACACACAGACACAATCATTACTTCTTGCACCTGAGGCATGTGGATGGAGATCAGCAAGAACCATTGCAGTACAGTATTGATGGGTATAGGTAGACATAGATACTTACTGTTGCAAAGAAACATTATACATAAGTCATCTTCTTTATGGCAATACATGTCACTGATAATCATAAACAGGTACATGTACACTCTACCCTTCAACCTTTAATCATTACCATAGATTATTTCCAAGCATCCAGAGAAGTGTAACTGCAAACCCTCCGGTACTATAGCTATGATGCTATAACTGTTATCATCCTGATCGACCTACCCACCCAATCCCCTGCAACCCATTGTCGCGTTAGCACTTGCACCGTCAGTGTGACAGAACAGCATTTGACTGACATCTGCCATCATTACCATATTGCTATATTGTGAGGGTAAGATAGGATGTCCCCAAAATATTCCTGTTTTGATCACTCATGGTGTCTGATGCTTTGAAAAACATCAGTTGATGAATGATCTAATATTGCATAGTAAGGTTCTAGCATGGACAATTGCCACCATGAGGTAAAAAAAAACAGGTATTGCAAGATTTCTGTCCTCTGTTGTGTACCATTTTCAGGATTTTCATCCTGATCAAAATCACCTCTTTAAAGTACTTCCTCACCTCTGGACAAGACTTAAACACCTCCAGATTATTGAAACTAAAAGTTTAAGCAACAAGTACGAAGCTTAGTAGCTGGTTTAAAAACACAGGTAGGGCCAAATTCAAGAAAGGCCATACAGCCATCATCAAAATGCATACGACCACTGCCATCATCGCAGATGGTCGTCAAAACAATTCAAGCAACGCGCCGCAATGGGTTCGTATTAAATATAATCATGCCTGCTGCCTCCTTGCGCCACGTGAAATTTCTCTTCCTGCGTCTTCTTGGTTCGATGAATAATATGCCTGAAATGCAGTTTCCATATTTTTCAGCTATGCTCAGGAAATCATTTTCGAAAGACTGTGCGTACACACCCTCCAAAACGTAGGGCGATTACGCACCTGGCTTACACACCCTCCGAAACGGAGAGCGGTTACGCGCCGGGCTCATGCACCCTCCAAAAAACCCGGAAATGGTATGCGCACCGCCCCTACGTACACTGCAAATCCTAGAAGACAGCCAGCCCCCTGTCATCCCAACACGCCCTCGATCCTTGTTAATGCGAATCCTTACTAAGAGGGGAACCGTGCTTAGCGCCGATTTGTGCTAAAACTGGCGGAGTTTAGCGCGCATAGATATTAAACAACGCAGTCCCGCAACGAAGGGCTCCACCTTAAATCTTTGACTCCTGAGTACATTCATGGTTCAGTTTAAGTCAAACGAAAGTCTGGTTAGCATGCACATGTGTCCTGACATTATAACTTGATTTGAGTTGAGTTACAAGTGTGAGTTGTAGATGTGAACTTAACCCTAAAATGTGCATTAAGCCGAAGATGTTGGGTGAAGCAAAGACAAATGTACATGTGAGTTATTGCATGGATCAGATACTTGAGCTTTTTGCATACCAAGATAATTGAGGATTCAGCTGAATTTAGTAGTCCACAGTTCGGAAGGCTTGCCTGCCAATATTAAGTGAAAGGGTGCAGACCAACTGCTCTCAGTTTCCGAACTGAGGATCACCATTAAAAACCATTGGGTGTATGATCCTGTAAGATGTGAGGGACAATGTTCTGCATAGCTTTGCGAGTGATTGTAGAAATGCATTAAGTCTGTTGAAGACATGAGGAATATATATATATATATATATATATATATATATATATATATATATATATATATATATATATATACCAAAATCATGCAGGTTTGTCTGACATGAACAACATAACCAGGAAACCATCTCCTAAAATGCAGGATTTTCTACATATATCAACATGCTACCCACACCTGTGTTCAGCTCAGGCTGAATTGTGAAGCTGCTCGTGAGGCAATCATATTGGGGAGAGTTACAGGCTGCGTCTGCTCACTGGGAAAAAAAAAATGTTAGGCAAATGTGATTCAAGTATGACCCAAATAAACATTTTTTGTTTTCTGTTTTTCATTCTGGCCGTCTTGTCCGCTGCCTCCGCTTTCTGTCTTATGTACTCAATCCTTGGATTTTTGCCCCCCCCCCCCCCCTCCCCCCGCCCAAGTCCTCTGTCCTACAGTGTCATTTGTCATGCACTACCGTGTGCTCTGCTGTTCCGTTTTTCCCATCCTGTCCCGTCGCTTCCGGTATCTAGCTTTTGCGCGAGAACGTCCTTGTTATGTATCTGATGCCATAGCATGCATCACGGTGGCCTTTACCTACAATCGATTTTCCAGCATTGTTACTAGCATGATGAGTGAAACGAACGCTCCGTTGATTTGCGTTTTAACTAAGAAAAAATGTCACATGGTCTGAAACGCACACTAGGAAAAAGTGCAGTCATACCAGGTGGTTCTTTCGAAATTGACGTCCGAATACGGAGCCCCTAACGTTCCGGCGCCAACAGTACGCTGTGTTTACGATATCTAAGAATCAAATCGTCCAATTAAAAAATTTAAACAGTGGTTATCCCGTGCAACTGCACCCAGGTATTGATGTGACATATTTGACATACCTGACGATGCTACAGGCAATGCAAACTACCTCAGAAATCACTGAAATATTCAGTGACTTCAGCTTAACTGAAACCACTATTTTCAAACCAATATCAGAGCAAGTATACCAGCAATATTGACCGTAGACCTGCGTAGCTAGGTGAAACGAACGAACGTATGCTTGTTCGTTGGGATCATACCATAAAATTAGAAACTGACTTTTGCAACTTGTTTATACTTTTTAACACTGAATTTTGAAGATTCATGTCAATTCAGGCTAAGGTCATAGCAGTTCAGGCTAAGATCATGTCAAGTCACGTCAGTTCATCTAATGCAATTGTTCCGCTTCTCTGGTCACGTGTAATGGATTTGGACAAGTATGTTTGAGGTGTTAATTACTTCTATTTTCCGTCCTATTTATCTCAAATGGGTGTACCAAGGCGTTTTATCTCAACACGAATTTCGCCTCATGTGACGTCTAATGGTAACCTAATGTAGGGAGTTTCGTGTGGTGTGAACGGCCCGGCTGGAGGACAAGACAGACCATGGTCGAGAATCTTGTGTTTGTCACGATGGTACAAACTGCAACATTTTTTTAGCCCCAATATTGTCAGGGTTCGCAAAGTGAGAAAAAAATGTGGGCTATCGTAAGGTTTTTCAACGCATGTCATGGACGGGCTAAGCCATCCGTTTAGAAATCATTTTGTAATCATTTGGAGGTGTGAAATGATTTGTGGTGTAGACAGTAGAAAACATTTCCCAGATTCAACTAAAAGTGAACTCAAGTTTACCATGGCTTTGTCTGCCGAGCGTGCCGTTCTGTTAGGGCTCCCTGTTTTCACTGTTAGAATTTCATATGCATTTGAACTTTTTCAGGTGCACGGGCTCCTCCGTTCACGGCCTCCGTCATGGCCGGCTTTGTCGTGCCTGCAGATCCGCCGCGGTGTCGTCAGCAACAGCGCCATGTCATCAGCTCCGATGTAGTTTTGCCGTCTTCGGCGTGTCATCGTCACCTTCGTGGTATCGCGATTAAGGGCTGCGTAAACACTTCCATATCACCTCTTGACAAATTCTTCGGTCTGCAAATTCCAAAGTCTGGTTCGGGCAGCCCACACGCACAGCGGGACGAGATGTAGCAGGTGCCGCCTCCTTCGAAAAACTAACTTATCTTAAACTAGGGCACACCACTGGGTATCCAGCGTTGATGCTCTGTAGCCAAGTCATTGTGACGGCACTGACGCCTATGCTGTGCATTAAAAACCGTCACAGAGCAATGCAGGGTCTCAAAGTAAAGCGTCTCAGGTGCAATGCTGGGAGCTTTAGCATGGCATGGCGATGTCCCCCGCCAGGTCAAGATTGTTGGCATGTTTTCTGTTCATAAAAAATGTGGTGGACCGTGTGCAGTCAGCTTAGAGATGCAGCTTGTGTGTGGCCGTTTAAGTGTACTTTGTTGCAGGCATGACTACGCGACATTCGATGTGAACCATTGAATTACTAATAAATGCTGTGACGCGTGGTGCATTGTTCTTCGATTTGTATCTACGTGGTTTCTGAAAGGAGGTGACGTCGAAAACTACACAATGGAAACAGATGTGGAGTTTTCGGGAAATTTTAGAGAGCACAACGAAGTTTGGGGCTGTGTGGAAACATAAAGAGGAGGGAATGTTTTTAGGAAGAGTCTAGGAGAACAAGAGAAGCGTTGGAGGATAATGTGGTATATAGAGGAGAGTCTGGGCAAGTTGAAAATAGAGGACACAGCGCAATAAAGGCTTATGATAAAAATCCTTAAAGGTTTACCGGAGTTCACCTAATTTCCTTCATCTTATAACCCAGTTCCGCCGGCGTTCGCGCCCCTAGGACATCAATGGATCCTCTAAACTTGAGATACCCTCGGATATGCAGGACGGAGGACGTGGGCAGTGCACTAGGATTGTAGATATTCTGATGCGTAGCACATTGCACTTCACTAGCAGATGGTAGCGCACCAGGGGGAGGGGTATTACCTTTTCCGGCCAGTGGTTAAAGAACGTTTCCATCCCAGCGCGAGGAATTCATCAGCTGCCACCTCGCGACGTGGGAATCGGGGCCCCTTGATCCATTCCGAGGCCCTGAGGGAATGTATTGTATAACAGTTCACTTCCCGACGCAGGCTGCCTTTTCACCGGGGCAGCTGCAGCCGGATCGACGCAGTGGCTCTCACTGATGCAAAAAGATCACATGCGGGTGCAGAGGGTCAAATAATTTACACAGGGGACCCAGTTCCACTCAACGAGCCACTGGTCGAAGCGGGTTAGAGGGCTCCCAGTTGTTACTGAGGCATGCTGTGAGAATCGGAGCCCTTAAACTGTCTCGTTGACTCATGCACCCTTTCGTTGCTACCAATCTTCTGTCGTTTTTGTTGTGCGTATGGGCACTAACACTTGAGCGCGTATCTTAACACCAAATGTTTATTCGGCAGTCACTGGGGCAGTGCGCGGCCCGACCGCCGCATGCGAGTGTCGCGGCGTGAGAGAGGGAGCGAATGTTTGCACAGCTGATCTGTTGGATTATTGGCACTAATAATAAAATTATCACAGACGAGCCGAATATCGCAGAATCATTTAACCTCTTCTTCAGCGAGATTGGACAACAGTTAAAAGACGAGATGCCTAAATCATCTTTCGACCCCTTCCAGCTCATCACAAATGTCGAAAATGAAATGGATCTGCCCCCCCCCCCCCCCCCCCACTAATGAACAGGAATTAATTCTTCTCATCGATGGGCTAAACAACATCGGGGCTGGAGTCGACAATATTAATTCAAAAATATTCAAGTTATCTTATAATGTTATACTCAAACCAATTCTCCATCTTTTCAACAGCTGTTTGTCCTCGGGGATATTTCCAAGCATTTTCAAAAAAGCCGTGATTAAACCCATCTTTAAAAGTGGGGACTCGCAACTTGTAGATAATTACAGACCTATCAGTGTTTTGCCGTTTATGTCCAAAATTCTTGAAAAACTTATATACAATAGACTCGTCCTTCATCTAAACCAAAACCAGCTAATTCACCAAAATCAGTTCGGATTTCAGAAGAACAAAAGTACTTACACGCCAATTCTTCTTCTGCAGGAAACTATTACAAAGGCTTTTGAAAATGGGGAATATGTGTTAGGTTTGTATTTAGATCTGAAAAAAGCCTTTGACACTGTAAACATTAGCCTTCTTCTACGTAAACTTACTAAATATGGTATTCGACGAAAATCTCATGAAATAATTTCTTCACATTTGTCTGGCAGAACTCAATGTGTAAAAATCAGGAATGATCTATCAACAATCAAAAACGTAACAATGGGGGTACCCCAAGGATCCATTCTCGGCCCAGTCCTCTTTTTAATGTACATAAATGACCTACCTAAATTAAGCAGTAACATGATTTGTCTGTCTTATGCTGATGATACTGCGATTGTTTTCAAAAATAAAAGTATTGTCGAACTTCAAAACAATGTCAGTACGCTTTTGCTTCTAATGACTTCTTGGTTTGCTGCCAATTTTCTCTCCCTGAACGTATCAAAAACATTCACACAACATTACACAACCCTTTCTTCGCATTTCCTACCAAATGTGCAAATTAATAATTCACCTATTGAAGAGAAAAAAGAAATTAAATACCTTGGTGTAATCATTGACATATCTCTTAAGTTTACAAGCCACACTAATTTTGTTGCAAGCATAGTAAGTAGAAATATTGGAATAATAAGTAGGGTTAGGTACTTTATTGATAAAACAACGTCACATCTACTCTATAACACTTTGATTCTTCCTTACCTAAATTAATGCTGCTTTGTTTGGGGCATAAATTATGCTTCTCAACTAGATCGATTGGTAATTTTGCAAAAAAGGGCTGTGCGTCTTATAGAAAATGTGTATCCTCCGCAAAGCTCAGAGCCAATCTTTAAACGATACAAAATTTTGAAACTATCGGATATTGCTAAATCTCAGATGTTAATTGTGATGCACAAATTTTTAACTTCACAGCTCCCTGCATCATTCGATTTAATTTACAATCTCTGCGAATCCAATGACATGGATATGAGGCGAGCAAAACATTTAGAACAACCTTTCTCTTATCGTAATTATAGACTATTTACAGCATCCTGCCTTGGCTCTAAGCTGTGGAACGACATTATGGTTCCATATTTTCCAAGAATAGCTGATATCCCTGTATCGAAAACCATCGTTAAGAACATCATCCGCAAGCATTTCGTGAACACGTATGAACGTAACAAACATATTTGAAGACATTGCCATCCTTGTGCTGTACATATCCAACGCACTTCATATTTGACCTCCTTCATGTTTCATAATCAATTTCTGATATAAAGTCATGCACATATACTCAAATTCATGGCGCTGGCTCCGGGAGTTCTCCCAGCAACAAGCTCTGCTTAGCTGGGTGAACTCCCTGGAAATCCAGCCCAAAACCCAGCACAAAAATGACCAGGTAATTGCCCCCTCCGACTTCTGACTGTATAACCCTTACTAACACCGGGAATTGAGTGGTTGTAGATTATTGGGCGGTTGTAGCGGGCTGTCATTAGCTGATTTTAGCTAATGACTACTTTAAGCCTTTTCATCTATGATTTTTCCCTACCTCTCACATAACACAATTCCCTCGGGTCTGCTCCACCTCCTCGCTTGTTTTTTTTAAAGTTTGTTTCATCTTCCTAGCTGGGAGTGCCGCGACTTGATTTTATGTTTTCTGGTGTTAACGTACGGTTTACTGCGTCGCTGGGATTGAGGGAGGGGCACTCCTGATTACCTGTTCTTGGGTAACGGCGTAAAAAAAGAAAAAAAACTTGGCGCTGACGAAAGGCATATAAGACATTGTGAAACAATTCACCAAATGAAAGGTCTTTACGAATTGGAACTACTTCTGTCGACGTGAAATAATAAGCTAAAAGGTGGGAAATGATTGTAGGTACAGCTGGCGGAGTTAACGTGACAAATTCCAAGTGAAACCTGATACTGCATAGGGCACAGTGACATCTAGCGGATTGGGCGGTAGGCGCATTTTCCAGTGGCGCCGCCTGCAGCTTTTATGACGTCACCTACGGTGGTGGTGTTGTCTTTAGAGGTGCCACCGCCTACAGGTGACGCCGTCTACGTTCTCAGAGGGTCCGAACCAACGTAGAAGG